CGTATCCTCGCGGCTCTCGCCTTTTTGTGGACCATTCATCACCATTTCACTGCATATCACCTAGCGTGCATTCATTCTACTCGGAATCATCTTCTCTACACGGTGGATCCATTCCACCCGGATTATTCTCATTGCTTCAACCTCTAGCTTGTGTCTGTGTTTTTCGCGGAGTTTGCCGGGGAATTCACACGCAAAACCTCGCCAGTCGCAGCTTTTCGCGGATTTTTTTTACAACCCTTTGGATTTTTACATCATTCGATAGAGAAATCTTTCCGCTTGCTAACAAGCCTTCAGTCGCTTCACAGCACCACGGTGCATAACAGTTACAGAAGAAATTCATTTTTAACTTGCGCACTCAAGCGCCCAGCAAACTTCACGATCGCCATCACATCTCGGCCAGATCAATTCACTCACTCAGACGAACCAAGCACGTCCTACACGGCCTATTCAAACGTGACTGCAGGATGCACAGGCCCATCACGCGTAAGTCGATCAACGTGTCCTCCGACCACAAGCGGACAAGACGGCGAAGCACACCTACCACGCACGACACCAAACTAGCCCGTGAACCGCTGCAACCGACCATGACCAATGTAACACGGAGAGAAGTTACAAGTGGAGCTGAGTCACATGCCCAGACAGTGGAATCGGGCCAGCATTGCGCGTTGTGTTCCGTTAATCATAGTCCGATTACTGAGGCTAACAAGCACAACCATCTGTCCGAGTCTGTTTCGTTCTGTCTTAACTGCACAACGGTTCCCATAGTAAAATGCGTAATTGCTTTGTCGAAAGATTACGACCGTCGGATTGCAGAAGTAGAATTACGTCTAAATGAAAGAATTATTTCCTTAGAGGCTATTATAGCAAGGTTTGTATCTCCACCATCTCCCGTACTCACCGCCACTAAACCGAAGAAAAGAGCCAGACGTTCTCGCGAAATCACAGCGGCGAATATCTTGGGAACCCCGAACCAATCAGGCATCACGTACGAACAAAACATCCTCAGTTCCTCAGCCATTCCGCCCTTATCCAAAGCCTCAGTAAGAACCAGACTTCCGACTGACCAACAAAGTCTGAGTATCTCTAAAGGCCAATCAACTTACGCAGCGACTATTGCTAGAGACACTGTAAACAAGACTTTAAGCACAATATCTGCGACATGTGTAAAAGACCAAGCACGAAATTCAGAGACTTGTTTTAGTCCATCCATCACGACGTCTCCCACATTACCGAACACCAGGAGGAACTACGGTGCTCTAACACTCATATGCACCAACGTTCCTGAATCTAAAGCAAATTCTCTGAGAGGTAAGCAACAGGACGATCTGAACCAGTGGAATCTCATTTGCGATCGCATAGGTGCTAGGGTCAAGCCGACTAACATCACGCGTGTGACGAGACATCCAAACTCCGCTCACTATGGTGAGCCCAGAATTCTGCGGATAACACTGGCATCCATTGACGATGTAGAGGCGGTGCTCTTATCGGCATATCACCTCCGAGGTGAAGACAGTAAGATCCGCATCTTTCCGGATGTTCCATGGAGCGAACGTCAGCGAGAAAAAAACAATTTAGACGATCGCAACACGGCCAGCTGGCGAAAAACCATTTTAGTTCATGGTGTGCCCGAGCTACCAACAGCTAGGGACGAGGAGGCTCATGCTCACGATCTGGAAGAATGGCGGTACATCCGTGAAACTCTATCTGCAGGTGACGTCATCCTTCAGTCGATTTCTAGACTGCCCGTTTCACCTCATTACAAAGGTAATGGTCCAAGGATACTGAAACTTGTGGTTCAGTCCCAGCAGATGGCGGCTAACTTAATGCGTAACTGGCATAAAATGCACAATGCACTGCCATCAGAACTACGATTTAAGGTACCATTTATTGAATCGAAGCCACCGGAGGATGTGACACCATCTGTGGCTCAATGTGATAAAATAAACGGAGCCGAAGACACTGCATTAAGATTATCAACCACTGAAAACGACGCTATTGAAGAGCGTTCTGCGTGTGCAGGAACGACGTTAGGTGGGCTGCAGGCCCGTGCAAAATGTTCATCGATAAACTGCGCAAAAAACGATCAGGTGCCGGCCTTTCATCGGCCGGCTTAAATCCAACTTCGTGTAATCCTCCACAAGCTCTTTTGGTGCTCAAGCAGCTGTCCTGTATGTACACTAATGCTCAAAGTTTACTTAACAAACTACCCGAACTGCGACTACGTCAAAGGTCCAAATCGTGTGACCTCGTCGCTATAACGGAGACGTGGTTGCGCCCGGATATCACAGACACGGAGGTCGAGCTACCAGGCATGTCCGTCGTTCGGCGCGATCGATCCAGTAAAGGGGGCGGGGTGGCTCTGTACTACCGCAGTGACCTCCAATGTGAGCCCATAGAAGACGTGTACAGTAACGTGCAGGATACTCTTTGGTGTCGGCTGCGTTTAACAGGCAACGACGTCTGTCTGGTGGCGGTCGTTTATCGACCTCCATCCTCTACACCCGAGATGGACTTCAATCTCGCGTCTGCGCTGAGGCTTGTGATCAGCAGGAGATACAGCCATATTCTTATCGCTGGTGACTTCAATATCCACGCTCTGGATGTCCAAGCAACACCTACGGAACAGTTCAAAGCGGATCTACAAGACCTTGTCTCCAGTTTTCCGCTTTATGGCCATATCGACAATCCCACCAGATTCAGAGCAGCAGAAAGTCCGTCTATCCTGGACCGGATATTTACCAACGAAGAACTCATGGTCGAGAAAGTAATCATCGACGCTCCTTTGGGTTGCAGCGATCATGCAGTTTTACTATTCGATTATATATGCTACGCAGAATACCCTGCGGATACTACACGGGAAAGCCGAGTTATCATACGGTACGATGAGCTGGCTCGACTTGCAGAGACAGCCAACTGGAACTTTCTGACAGACGAAGTACCGACAATCGCATGGCCACATTTCGTCAACCAATTTAGCACTCTCGTCGAAGAGGCATCCGAAACTAAGGTTGTCCACTCGAAGAAGACTGTTTCATTTGTGCGAAGTAGGACACGGAAATGTATAGCAGTGAGGAACTCGGCCTGGCGGATCTATAAGGAACACCCGAGCACGGAGAGCTGGACGGCCTATGCAATTCAACGTAATCATTGCACTCAACTCGTTCGTGAGGATAAACTGACATACCAGCAGCACCTGACGGAGCGCATGGTTTCGAATCATAAGCTGCTCTACCAACATGTAAACAACCTGCGCAAGGTAAAACGGGGAATCCCTCCTCTTCAAACGCCAGATGGCATGACGCTGACTACGGAGGATGCGGCGAACGCCTTGCGGCTGCAATATGCTTCGAACTTTCAATGCATTCCTTGGTCATCTATTCCTTTGTCAGCAGCTGTTTTACAACCAAAACTTACGCACATAACTTTCACGGCGGGGATGGTATTAAAGAAGTTGTTGTGTATGCGTAAGCACAGCTCTCCTGGAATCGACAACATTCACCCTAAGTCCCTTGCGGTAATGGGAGAAAGTTTAGCGGAGCCTCTGGCACGATTCTTCCAACGCTGCTTCGATCAGATGTATGTACCCGAGATGTGGAAATGTGGGATCATAACCCCAATTCACAAGGGCGGTAGCCGTTCTGATCCAGCCAACTACCGTCCTGTAACCCTTCTCCCGGTCCTGTCGAAGGTTATGGAAGCTATTGTTGCTGATGTACTAACAGCCTATCTAGAAGAGTCTGCCTTCCTTGCACATGAACAGCATGGTTTTCGACGGAATCGATCGTGCACCACAAATCTGCTGCTAGCAAGATCGAGTTGGACCAAATTAATTGACAGCGGTGCAGGAGTGGACGTGGTCTACCTAGATTTCTCAAAGGCCTTTGATCGACTAGACCACGGAATCCTGATCTGCAAACTTCAGAGCTTCGGCATTGGTGATCCGCTCCTAGGATGGATCACAAGCTTTCTTCTCCACCGGAGCTTAGAGGTAAAAGTGCGTGGGTCCCGGTCCCATCCAATCCAAGTCGAATGTGGTGTACCACAAGGATCGGTACTAGGGCCACGATTGTTTTTGATGTATATTGACGACATAGCGGCCCTCATTCTTTCCAACTGCCTACTCTATGCCGACGACATCAAGGTCTGGAGAGCGATCAATACACCCGACGACTCCGCAATACTTCAAGAGGATCTGGATAAGGTGTATGCGTGGTCAGTTCAGAACCAACTCCCATTCAACACAGAAAAATGCAGAGTATTACACTTACGTCACCAATCAGCATTTTTCTATAAACTGGGTGACCATGTGCTTCACACAACTGCTGAGGAAAAGGATTTAGGAGTCTTGATTCAGTCCGACCTTGGTTGTTCAGCCCAGGCAAAGAAAGCATCGAACGTGAGCATTCGAAATTTGGGCCTTCTCCGGCGCACATTTGGACGCTTCGATCCATCCGTTTTTCACCAACTTCTAGGTGCATACATACGACCACACGTGGAGTATGCAATACAAGTCTGGCAGCCGTGGCTGAGGAAAGACCTCTCTGATTTAGAGAAACCTCAACGACGCGCAACGAAGAACGTGAAAGGTTTAGGCCAGTTACGCTACGAAGACAGACTGAGATCGCTCAGGATATTTAGTGGTCAATATCGAAGACTACGGGGAGATTTGATTTTGGCTTATCAGATTCTGACAGACCCCAATCATACCTGCCGCCATCTGCTGGAGCTCAGTAACAACAACAACCTGAGAGGCCATCATCTGAAGCTGGCAGTGCAGTACAGCCGTTTGGAATGTCGACGGAATTTCTTTTCCGTGCGTGTTTGCCAAGCCTGGAATGCTCTCCCAGAATCTGTAGTCAGTGCACCCAACCTGATCGAGTTCAAAAATCGAGTTGATAATGCCCTCACTTCATTGCACTATCTCCCATAGTACAGTCTAGTTTTGAGAGATCCAAAATCCATACTTTAAAAATAATTTTCCCCCACGCAAATTTCAACAGTGGATGTATATTTGGACGCTTCAAACTCAAACACTTTGCGCCATGCGAATTTCAAGGAGCAGTGACTCTTTTAACCAAATACTCCATGCCTCATGATTCCCTCCGAGTTATAGTGGATTATTATTTTGACACTTCAAACTCGGTGAGTCCACAAGCTTGTAGTGACTCGTTGTTAAACGATTTTACTGAATTGGTTTCCATTGAATTTTCCACACTTCTATGATTTTCGCACTGATCACCCTACGGGATTTGTCAAGCTTTAGCTTTTATACCCGCATAAATCCATTGTTCCATTGTTCCATTGGAAGAGGAGAAGACTATCTTTACAACGCGATGATAGTTCATTTGATTTTGTACTTGATTGTGCCGAAATATATCGTACTGCTGAAGCTTCTCGGTGGGCCACTTTATACTATCAAACTGGCTGAATTCAATGGCTTCTAGGGACAACTTAGATGTACTAGTTTTGCAGGCTGGGATAAGTTCTGTAACAATGGCATCCTAATTTCTGGATCCGCAAGCATTCCGCATCCAAATTCTTAATGCGATTGGATTGCAGTATTATGATGTTTGCAGCCACGATGTTACACTTGCAGAGAAATTGAGCGTTATTTGCAAATAATCACCAGCTATTTGCTGCAACCATTGCAGCTAAGTTACCGCAGTATTTAAAGGGATGCTTCGCATGGATCTGCTCCATGGGGTATTGTGGGCAGCTGATGTATGTGAGAAGCAAATTTTCTTGATCGCTGTCACCTAGAGCAGTGCCGATGATTACTCTCGATTATAGTTAATGGATTGGTTATCGATCTGAATTTGCTGGCAAATTAATGTGATCACTGCGCGGAAAACTTGAGTTAATATCACGTGAAGCCAGCCCTGGACTTTTCTCCTGACCACTTTGTTCTGGGTTTAAAAGCGCCAACAACTACGATTTGACAATGTATATTTTTATCAGCCTGAGAAATACACAGAACAAGTTAAATTCCTATCAGGGATAGAAAAAGGATACGATAGCCAACGATTAGAATGAGGATAAGCTTTTCTTTCAACTGTAAGTGACATGCAATGGAAGTAGGCAGTGCGATTTCCGAACAACCCGTAAGTTTGAAATTGAGGTGTTTTTGAGATCAATGGTTACCCTAAGTACTCGCTGGCTTGATGCATACAGAAAGCTGAAATACCCCCACGAGCTGGACATTGCCACTCTGGCAATAAAGCCTTGCTCATCTCAAGAGAATAAGGTCTACGGATGTTCATGTATGTCTAAGTTGTAATTCTGCTAGTTTTATGACTAGGTCTTTAAAATCAGTGTGCATGGGAGACTGGCTCTGAATAAGCAGTAGTACATTAGATGGGGTAGATAAAGCGAGCGTATTACGCCGACCGATGTATGCTCAGGGATTACATGTATTATGGATAGGTTTCCGAGCCAAAATTTAACACAAAAATTGAATAATTCTATAATAACAACATGCGAAAAGACATATAGTGCCTGCTTCCCAACTGATGTCCCAACATTGGATATGGGATTAATGAATTGTTTTGTTATCTCACGCCATAAGTAGTTTGAGCAAGCGGGGTTATTCGCATGTCTGCTAAACAGCTGAGAAAAGGGGGAATGTCCGGCCTGATTTGCTCAACTTAGCCCAAAATTTCGATTACAATTTCCACGGGGTCGGATGACATTTACTTTCTCAATGTTGATGTAATGTTTTAGATCCATCTACGACTTGATACGGTGTCTCACCGATCCTCGACTTCTATTAGACCAGCGTAAAGTTTAGTTAACGGGTGCACATGTGAATGCTGGTCTTAGGGAATAAATGAACTTGCTGTCACATTCACGTGAAGCAGTATCGTATGATTGAATATAATCTAGGCTGTCTAAGTCTGTCGATCGCGCCAGCACTAGTTTTGAAATTACTGGAAAATACTAAGCGTACAGAAACGTAAATTGCGCCGTAGCTTAACGGCATAGCGGTACAAGATAACGCACATTAATTTGTTTAAGCACGATAAAAATATCTAGTCGAAAGAGACCAAAAGAGAAAAATAATGGATAGAATTTCGGAAGCCTTTGAACTTGGATGTTCATGGGACGAATTGAGATAATTTATAAATCTAATTGGCCAAGAGATGCACGGACATTTTTGCATGGATAATGACCTCACGTGCTTTGGCTCATCAAGTTAAAAAATATTAATTTAAATCTACCGTTATATAAAGAAATGCTTTAGTTTAAGTTGTAAAGAAAACGAAGAGAAAAAAGTGGGTCGGTTACACAAACCGGGTTTGTTTACAATAAATTGTTTTTGCCTTTGAAAAAGCTGAACTATATTTGCTTACAACTGGTGGCTAACACACGCAATTGTAAGAGTCCTATCCACGCTAAAGTACATTGAAAAGGATGAACGCTTTTATGACAATCCAATGATTTTAGACCTCCAAAGGAAATTGTCATAGCTGCTGCTACGTACTGAGTAGTATAGTCTTGCTTTTAGTTCATCGCTGCAAATCGATTGGAGCAAACTAGCTGGCGTATCTTCCACATGACTGATAGGCCAAATTGTAAGGAAAATGTGAAGATCTAACTCATCAGTTGCCCAGCTTATATATGCAAACTGAGATCTATAGCTAAAAAATACTTAGTATAGTAGGGAGCAAATCTTTCGGTGTATCAGGAAGAGCGACACAGGGGGTGCTTCATACTTGTCAGATCAATAAAGTGTTTACAGAATACATCGAGATTGAGTACTGAGATTAGGTAAGTATAATCATGCATCATCAGGCTCAATGAATAGTCAGCAATGGCTAGCCAGTTTTCCATAAATCTAGTCAACACACTGCGGAAGTATAGGCAAAGGAAAATTTGCATTGTGAACAAATTCCTAGCCAACCTCGCTTGCAATCCAAAGTTATCATTTGCACCGTCTCATAACAATGAAGACTACACTAAAGTTTGCTGCTCCTATTCTTGGTGGCTCTTTCAAATTGACAAATTAACTCCTACTGAATGCCCTAGAATCTAGTTACGAATATCGGCCTCCACTAATTGATTTTAAGGCTATGGAACACCGCCTGCTAAATTTCAGCTATGAAACTTACGGCAATTTGCATCCACCAACTTTGGCCAAGCAATCTAAGTATGCGGATATTTTCCAGAAAATCGTTTATACCCAGAACGCCAGCTTTGGAACTTACACAATTTATGTGTTCCTGCTTCTGAAAATCAAAAAATAAGAGGGCAAATTAATCCTTATTTACTGAATGATATTGTACGTGGTTAACAAAAATGCTATGTAGCACAAAATTCTGTTTAACCGTCCTCATACTCAGATAGGTTAAATGGGGATAGTGTGAGTGATATTTTTCTACTGGGTCTCTTATTCGTTTAACAAATGACCGTACAAATACTGTTCCATTTTGTGTGTAATTATACTTGCTTAAACCATGGATGCTTTGTAATTTCCAACATTTTATTCAGGGTATTCTTTTGGTGATCAGTTGCTAAAACTCTCCTAGATCAGACTATAACCACTGCTGGATTTATGTTATTTTGACAAAAAAGCCTGTTACAATAATTTCAATATACTTTCCTTCAGATATGTACTCTTGCTGCAAAAGTAAGGCAACACAAATTATAGCCTTGTATAATTGAAAATTAAATCGATCTAAATGTGGATCTATGAAGGTATTACAGGGGTTAACCGGCCTTCCATATTTGACGGCTAATATTGTTCTTGTCACTGGAATGAACTAGAAAACTTTCCATTCTGGTCCTAAGTAAAGTTTGCTAGACACAAACAGTACGTTGTTTATTTTTAAAGTTGAGTTTGTGCAAAGAGATATTACTAAAATCATTGAAGCTGCCGGCTCAGTGGACGCAATACTTATATTGGAAAAGATTGAGATAACTAATAATGGCAAGTTTCCTTCCACAGCTTTACGAGTCTTAAATCTTGCAGAAATATGGCCTACAGACCCCAAGCTAATCCCAGCTGTTTTTGGTGCACTTTAACAAATGAGTTCGTCTTTTTACTGCATTATTCAAATTACTAAAGGGATCTAATTGATTTGAATTTCTCAAAAGACGAATTCCCGTTGAGTTCGTTAGGCAGTTACGCCATATTGTTAGTCTGAATTGCAAACTTGTTTGCTGTCATTCGGAAATAGCCGTTCTCTCAAACTGTATCACCGTACTTCAATATCCACGTTTGATTTGGAAGGTGTTGCGTAAAAATAAGCTAAAGCTGTCCAATGGCGATTTCCGGCGCATTGCCTCTGCTCAATTGGAGATTGCTCAGGCTCGACTCACTGCGCTACTCGAGACGCATTCCCGCCTAATGCCAATACTAGATAGCTTATCGTTGTGTTGCAGGATTGTGTTTACCAACTTCAGCAAATTTGCTATTGATCGTACAAAGGAGAAATGTAAAGTCCGGTGCAGAATTCACTGTTACCAACGGGAAGAGCCTGCATATCGTGACCCCAATACGTACGTTTTAAACCTGTCAAATGTTCCCCTTGATGCCTTACAACTGGAAGCATTATCGCTCGGAATGGATTACAAAGTCCAACCTGGTAAGCTGAACCGCTTGTTCATAGAGGCACAGTTTGAAACTTTTTATGACCAATTAGCAGGATTACAGTCCTCTAGTCCAGATATGTCAAACTGGCATGGTGACAAAGGGGAGAGTGTTTGCTAAAAAGGCGTCACCTTTGTGTACTACGAGAGCTGAGGACGAAGGGATGATTGTAATTAAGCCAGACATAGGCTCAGGAGCCGTCATTATGTGCAATGAAGAATACACACGGAAAACGCAAGATTTACTGAGTGATGCTAACAAATCTAAACTCCTTACAAGAACGGCAAATGTTAGTGAAGTGGAAAGACGCATCACGGTATACTAAAGTTGCCGATATGCAACCATAAGTGTGGTATACCGCTTAGATCAATCTTGTCAATGGCAAATTCGGCACAACATAAGTTGGCTCGTTGACTGGTAGAAGTTCTTTCGCCGTTAAAGCGGCAGACTATCCCACACCGTCTGAAGGACTCTTTCGAACTTACAGAGGCTTTAGATGAGTTTAACCTATCCGATAAAGTCATGTCCACATTGGATGTACAATCGCTTTTCACAAATGTTCCGCTACATGAAACAGTTGATTACGTGTGTGAAATGGCAGAGTGCTCCGATGTTACTCTTCCAATGCCAGTCGAATTATTAAAGGACTGCTTACTACTATGTACTGAGAACATCGGTTTCCAATTCCAAAACATTCCCTATCGCCAGAT